AAATTATATAGAAATTTCGAGTTTTTTTTAAAATTTTTGCTTAACACTTCAAATTTGAATTTTATCCATCGAGAAAATTCACATCAATTTTAACATTAATTTGCCAAAAAAAAAAGAAATCAAACCCAATGTTTATTACAGGATATGCGTAGTTTGATAACATCTGATAAGCAGTTTCATGTTGTAGTACATGATAAGAATGACGTAGTTCCACGTTTTACAGTTGATCTATTCACGGGTACCATTGAAGAGGAACAGACACCGACAGAATTTCTTACCAAGTAATTACTTATTTTAGCAAAATTTTTTTCTTTTTTGATAAATTACACCTATCCGTTATATGGGGGATTTTAACGCGCTATCAGAAATTAAAATTTGAATATTGAAATACTCAAAATGTATCGTTTTACTTACAGGTACAATGGTAATCCTATTGCGATGGTTAGAGCGGAAGATGCTGATTCACCGGGTCCACAATCCGATGTGCGCTATCGGATTATCAATGATGGTGATAACGGGGCAGGAAGATTGTTTCGGATCGATGAGATAAATGGTGGAATATTTCCAGTTGAGATTTTTGATCGTGAAAAAAATGATTCGTTCATTTTTGATGTTGAAGCACGTGATAGTGCCCCATCAAGTTTACCTGGCACTTCGGGACCGAATAGAGGTGATGCAATTTTTTAAATCTTCATTTATCATTCTTCTCAATGCTCAATTAATTGGAAACAATTCATAGATTATATTTAGTCTAAAATTTTAAAAATTGATATAATAGTTAGATTTTATCTTTCATTATCAACCAGTGAAAATTTTTGAGAAATAATATCATCATTAAAATGTTTGAAATTTCATCTTTTACAAAATTTTATCTATTCTTTAGAAATGATATTGTTTATTTCTTTTTTTTTCTCTCTCCTTTTTCATATCATTGCTTCCAGCTTCCTAAACAGTGTTAATTTCTGCTTCATTCATTTTCAAATTTCATAAATACAAGAAATTTGAAGGAAAGAAATTT